AAATTCCCACGTGTAAACACAAGGACTGTCAAATATTGAAACTTGTGTTGTGAAAAACATACACTGTCACTAACCTCTAGATTGTTGAGCCGCTTGAAGTCAATATGGAGGTAGGCCCTGATGCCCTTCATGGCCCCTGGTAGAGTTATGCCTCGAATGAGCAAAACAAAAAGGACGACATAGGGCATGGTAGCTGTGATGTACACTACCTGAAATACACAGGATAAATCAGTAAAAGAGGAAAGAAATACACCAGACAGACTGTTTTTCATTTAACCATTCTATCAATGAACAGACAGAAGGTGTCTGATAATATACAAGTTCAATATGTAGTCGGTATGATAACTTAAAAACTCAAAAAAAAGTGTTTGATAAAGTTGGTTGCTTGAATGCAAGTGACTACAGTATATTATATAGCACTGAATATAAAGACTAAATGGTAAAATAGTAGCATCCAATCCTCACAATGTTTATCACTGCCTCTTGACTAGACTTTTTTGACCTTGTACCAACAGTTTATACTGAGCGGTTTTACAAGATATCTGCAAAGTGTCACAGAATCACAGCTCCACATTCTTGTACAGATATTGTAGTTGGCATTAAACAATATGGGTAAAACATTTTTGAATTGAAGAAAAAAAAAGTAAAAACTGAGAAAGCAACAATTGTTTTTGTTGTTTGGTGGTCTAGGTCTGTACCTTCCCTGAGGACTTGACACCTTTCCACAGGCTGAAGTAGAGTATGAAGACCACCACAACCAGACATAAGGTCAGCTCCCAGCGAGGTAGGCCCAAATCCTGGATACCCCTACTCTCATGGAGATGTAGCACACCCCGTCTGCAGAACGACGCACACACACAACAGAAAAATATATACTGTATCATCCAGAAGACATTCTTTTTATTCTGATATATTGTACTGTATTTCACAGCTTTAAACACTACTTGGAACACATAATGTGCTGTAATTTTTTCATGGTATGGCATGTTGTTTTGTTTTTGGCTACATCTTAACAGATGATTCTGTCAAACAAGCCCACCCTGATTTTACTGCAGCTGGGGGAGTCATAAGGAAACAGCCCACACTGTAAGTGCCTGGGGTGAAGATGGGAGATGAAGTATGAGACAGAGGCTCTATCAGGACATGTATTACAGCACGCACTCCACCTTCAACCAGTACTTCCAAACTATACTATCACCCCAGTATATCATTGGCCAAAGTATTCAGTTTAATGACTTCGAAGAAATGAAATACAATTGTTTTCAACACTAATGTAGATTAAATATCTTTTACCTAAAGTAAAGGTATCCATCTCGGTGAAAGCTTAGTGAAGCTGGATCATACAGCCATCTGTTGACTGAAAGTGAAATAATTGTGTTTCCCTTTCTCTCTCTTTCTTCCAACTACACACACACTGCTTTGAAACTGTCAATAATGACCTCTGGTATTGTTTCGCTATTATCAGCCATTCCCCTTGAGCCAAACACTTACTGTCAGATCAAGGTGAACGTACAAAGGTTCAAGTGTTTTATCATGACATAATGAAACCAAGGGAGACAAATGGTACCTCTTCCATCCCTATCTAATATTGTTTCCAGCTGCGAGCTCAATCTTTGACTGTCAGAGTAGAGAGAAGGAAGCGTACAACTTAGGTTTACAATATTAAGTAAATGTGTTAAATTGGTGTGGTCTCTTTAGTCAGAAGTTGCTGTCATTATGTCATGCCATCAGCATTACATCCTTTCAAAATGTTCAGCTCATCAGCTTAGCCTTTTAAAGAGGACCAAAACAGGAAATGGACTTAATACATGAGAATACGCTTAAAAGAATAGTTGGGAACCATTATGATCCATCTTGTGTCTGTGCATAAGGTACAGAGCTGGAGTGAGGCTGTGTTTAGCTTAGCTTAGCATAAAGAGGGGGGGGGGGGGGGGGGGGCTAGCCTTGCTCTCTCCAAAGTGAAAGGAATGCATACCCATAGCTCTAAAGCATGTATCTTATTAGTTTAACCCATACAAATTTGAGGTTTTAGGGTGATAGAACAACTTCTTGGTGAACAACAGCTGGGGCTAGAATGGGCCAGGCTTGTAGTTTCCCTGTACATTCAGTCTTTATGTTAAGCAAGGTTAAACACATCCTGACTCGAGCTCCATACTTGAAATTGAATCAGTCTCTTCCCCTTACTCTGGCCTAATGATAGTCCCAGAAACCAAACTGGTGAAATTAAGTTACTACAACTTTGTTTCCACTGTATCTGAATAATCCTTGAGATTATACAAATTACCACAATAAAAAACAACAGCTTTGTTTTAGAAATGAAAGACAAGTGTTTTGTTCAGTTTGTTTTTTCTTTCTCAATACAATTATCAAACAGTTATATGGTTTTGATGCCGGTAGATGTGAGAGGTAAAGGGGGGATTTATCGCTCATGTCATGGTAGTTTGTGATTGAGTGAGTGAAAGCGACAAGAAGAGCTTGAGGTCTTCTTGAATCAATTTTTTTCCATCTATCACATTTGATTGCCTGATTGTTCACACAGCCCCCCCCCCCCCCCCCCNNCCTGGAGGGACTGGTTAATCATACTTGATCAGTTTTTCCCAACGCGCTTTGCCAAGGCGTTTTTGAAGCAGCTGCACCTGTAGTGATGCATCTGTCTGATCGGCCCCTAAGGCTGTTCCAAGGCATAATAAATGCTTTGTGAAATGGCACTGTAAAACACTGTATTCATAAGGCCTCAACATATAGAAATATGTGTCCAGATGAGGACATATGATGGGCAAACATGAATCCACTAACAACTAAGACAGACTATGTGATGTCTTACATTTTAAGTCTCTCCAAAGCTCAGAAGCATCAGTGTATAAAACCCCGTTTCTGCTGCAACTTGGACTATTCCACATCACACTTAGCAGTGGCAGTAGTGGACTGAACCCTCCTATGCCTGGGGCATGTTAAATCTAAAAATGGTGTGCACTATTTGGGTACGGTTTCCATGTTGAAAACGTTTCTTTTTTAAACGGTGTGCAATGGGCTTTGAGGTATGTTTTCTCTTGTTTGGTGGGTGCGCAAGCGACACATGTATACCCTGCCTTATTAAATAGACCGTGTGCACAATGGATCCAACTAAGGGCCTTCACAAATGCGCCCACTGCAGCTTGGTGTATGCAACAATTGATGACATTAAAAGACATGTTTGTCGTATTTTTTTTATAATATTAAACACATATTTATACCAATTTCATCAGGCCCCAAAAATTATTCAAAAAGTACGCAAAGAATGTCTGCCTTAGCTGCCATAGTTGCAGCGCTTTCATAACGCAGCAGTGTTCAACGCACCACTGCTTCTGTTTAAATAAAAGTTTTGTTACGTGTTGTTGGGGCTGAATGTGCTCTTGGTCTGTAAGACCAGAACTAGACCAGTCAGATTTACAGTATTTAACCAATTATGGACTGGGTGGTGGTTCTTTTGTGGACATGTGTATGCTGCCATTAAACTCTAAGTTAGCAATTATCATTGTTGTTAATGTGGTTAAATGGTTGTAGGGTTGTGTCTAAAACATGCAATTATTAGCGCTTAATAGGGTTAATCCTGCTAACCATTATCAGTATTTTAAGCTAGCACTGAAGAACATGAGGCAACGCATTTCTCAGTCTGTGTGTGGTCCCTTTGAAGTACTGGACAATTTTGGTCTCTAAATATTCAGTATTTCATATCCAGGTTATTATTTGTTCAAGGTTGCTTTTTGCACCAAATTGTGGTTATTGTATCAGCATTTTATCATTTTATCTATGTGTAGCCAACAGAGGGCAGCATAAGCCAGCTAATGCTAAATTTATTCACCACTCTACCTACTCTACCTACTCTATCTACAGTATTTTGGTGTGGAGGCACCAGACTTACTAGTTTAATATTCTTTCATTACATAATATTAATGTATTAATATTTTACCAGAAACAGCTACACATGATCTTGCTGAAGCGGGAATAAGTAGCAATATAGTATTTATTTATAATACCATACTTTGCTGTGGAAATTATCTTTAAGCAAAGTCTTGGGACTTGACTTAAGTGAGCTTCCTGCTGGTTATGTAGGGGTATTGCAGTTTGGGACACATGCGGCCAAGACTGTTGAACTTTGCATTCGCTTTATTTAACAATGTGATTGGGATCATGGGCACCTAGTTATAGTTAAAAGTGGGGGCGCAAGATTATGGCAGCTTTCACTATAAGCTAAATTTATTGGACTAATATATGGGATAAAAATATTTGTTCTTCATTGTGCTGTGCACTTTCAGCAGTGAGTAACAAACACAGACAAAGGGCAACCACGTGTGTGTCTTATGGTCCATGGCTTCTTCTGACTAAACCCTTTTGTGTAAGCATTATATAAGGGGAAATTGCTTAAGCAGATGCCACCAATTTGAGTTCATTTGAGATTTATAGATCACAGGTTCCTAAGTTACAGAAACGGGCTTCTTGTAACCTGCATAAGCTACGCTCATTATCTCTTGTGGATTGACCATAGGCACACTGTCAGAAATGATCTAAGTTTATCTAAGAGTTCAAGTATAAATTAAAGAACATTTTTATAAATGAGGCCCCCTGGACTGTGTTGTTGGAATAGACTGTGGACAGTCATTGCATCATCATAGTTGGTTGCCTGCACTTTTTAAGAGAAGGCTAGAATATCTGGCTGCGCCAGTGATAGAGCATACACTTTGTCCTTTCCAACCAGGAACAGGTTGTATTTTATTTGTGTATCAAAATCCTGCAGTAAAACATTGAAAAGCCATTTTGTTCCTTTCACATTTGTCTTAAAACTTTCCTGAAGAAAGATTCAATTAAGCTGGCATGTGATGTTATGGGTTGATAAACAGCGGAACTAGATTTGGATCTGATTCTCAGGTTGCTTACACAACAGCCAGACACACAAAACCTCAGGAACACGCAAATTGAAGTCCAGACATACAATCCTACGGGGCCAAAGGATCTGTGAAACTCTTCTTGTTTTTCCTTTACTTATCTTTGGCTGCTAAATTTCAAAGCTATATGGCCTTTGGGGAAGCAGATAGCGGCGTAAAGACATCAGTTTATTTGGGAAATTTAGAGTCTGTGCTCTGACCTGGAGGCATCGTGTTGGTGTTGTAATGCCCCAAGGCCTCATTGTTCTTCTGATAGCATTGATAGCGCACTTCCAGTAAATTCTCACTTAGTCGCTATAATATCGAGCCAGGTCCCTTTGGCCCAGTTACTCTAAACACATTTACTCTTATCTTCACTTAGCGAGCTGGTTATGCTGCTATCCTAACACTCAATGTTGCCATTAGCAAGTCTCTGTATACTTGAGGCTGGCACACTATTGCATATGGCCTGCAAAAAATAAGGACTACAGACCCAAATATCTAAACACAGCTGAGGGCTTCTAATTTCAACCTTATTTATGTATTGAATTAATTGCAAATGATTGTCACTGTTATTTTAAAAGTAATTCTTTCAACAACTATGTTAAATTGTGTGTGAGATTGAAGTGAAAGCAATCTTCTCAAGTGTCTATGTAATTTGTTCATTTTGTTTGAATGAGTGCTATTTATCAAGTCTAGTTATCCTTGACATGAAATCAGATCTAAAGGAATAGGATTTGTGTGCGTGCTAACGAAGGAAGTTGGTGTTGCTGTTGTTGTCATTTTCTACAAATGTATTTTTTTTAAATACTCCAAGTATTTAAAAGCTTAAATGAAGACTTTTTGTAACAGAATTTGACATATTTTATGTCTACTTGACTGATTACACCTGCAAGCAGGAGGACTTAAGCAGCAGGCCCAGTGTTTGTCATAAGGTGGAACCCTTTACTTTGCATTGCAGGAACAACACCGTCCATGAACACCACACTCAAAAATCAAGTAGATTAAACATTAAATATTTTCACTTAATTTTTTTAAAATCAAAGGTGGGACTATATGTTATTCTCCTTGTTCCTACAGCTGGATGTTTGAGCTTCACTTTGCAGAATCTGACACTAGAAGGATGTTTTCACTTACTTTTTCTGAAACTGGAAGGTTTCTCTGTGCTAATTGAAAACCTAATTTTAAGAGACGGGCCTATGAGCATAATATGTGACATCACAAACAGTTTGGAAGTCAATCCTGGTCTAATTTGCAACTTAGATGTTGAAGCTCGAAGCCACCAGTGCATATACATGGATAATGGACTTTACTGTGAAGTAGGAGACATCTCGTGTCAAGTGGGAGAACTTTAGAAATTAGCCAAATTTGTCATAGATTCTTAATTTTTGACTTCACCCGCGACCTCAAGGTAAGGTTATGCTTTAAAAGAACTAGTTTGTACGACATTGTAGAATGACAATGGAAGGCAGCGTTGAATGTTTTTGGAAAGCTACAGAAATTGTTGGATTCAACCCTCCCAATTCTTAAGTTGGAATGGTGTAGGGGTAGGGCCACAAGCAACTCTAAAGAAGCATAGCGTAAGAACACTGTGAAAGCCCAGCTGCTTCATGATTTGTATGTCTTTAAGCAGCGAGACAGCCTTATTCTGTAGAGTTAATCAACATGATGCTGTGATTTGGGAGTTGAACATCTGAGAGGTTTTCTTTGATCTCTTGAGGCTGCACAAGTTATCAAATTAATCACAGATAAATGCCCAGATCTCTTGTTTTCAGGTCAGTCTTTTGGCAGAAGCTGACCTCACATAGCCCTCTTCCAAACAAGCCGTATCATATGATTTACAATTGACTTTCATATCATCAACATTGAGTCAAGTCATAAGGTGGTGTACAGTGTATTATTGTTAAATTCTTACATGTTAAAGTCAGCTACATATTGATTGGTTCTAAGTTTAATTAAACCTTTTTGAGGAAGTTACAGTAATGCTGCATTCACACTCCAAGCCTCAGCTTCTGACTCATTGCTTCTTTCTTTGATTTGATTTCTGGCTGTTCACATCATTAGTTAAATGTGGCTCACATCAGATGCCTGTTTGAACAGGTCACGGTCCTGAGGTGACCCACATGACGAATGTAGATCTAGAGTGACATAAAAGTCATGTGAATTCTGATATGACTGTTCACAATGAGGTCGCATTGCCACAAAACAGACCTGTGTGTCATTTGACCACAAATGACACGCTTAAATCAGAATTGTAAAAAATCTGATTCCATGTGATATGTGCCAGGTGGAGTTTTTTGTTCAGCTAAACTGATAGACTGCAATCCGTATTAATAATTGTAAATTTCACTAGTTAGCCGTTCATCATATGATATATGGTGATGAAGTAGCCTCTTTTTAAATACCCTACTCATAGTTCCCCATGTTTTAAAATGTTTGTGAGACAGTTTGGATACATTCTAATGTTGTTTATATGTAATACCATTTAGTTAATAGCTCATATTCTACTTGGATGGTAAATGGACATGTATTTATACATGCTTTTCTGGTCTACTAACCACTCAAAGTGCCTTACAACAGTTGGCACATTCACCCATTCACACATACACATTCATACACTGATGGCAGAGGCTGTCAACTGCTCATCAGGAGGCATTACATCGCTTTCTATCCAAAGTGCTCACAGTGATACTAAGCTCACTCATACAGACACATTCACATATCCACGTCACAGACATTGGGAGCAATTTGAGGTTTGGTGTATTGCCCAAGTGCACTTCGACTAGACTCGGGGAGCCAGGAACCAAAACAGTAACCCTCATATTACCTGGCGACCTGACTAATCCTGCTCTGCCACATCAGCCACAGCTGCCACAGTAGATGAGCAACCCAAGAGTTACTCAAGAGGACAGCCTTTGATGAAATATGATAATATTGCGTTACAGTATATGAATTACAGGACAAAATAAAAAAACAACGTAATATTACTGTAGATGCTATTTACAAGTTTGAATGATGTTATTTTTGTGTGCTCTCTACTTGTTGGGACAACAATTCTCAAATCAGGAATATGGTTATCCTAAAGACATAAAGAAAAGAAAGAAGATTGAAAAGAAAGTTCACTATTTTTTGTGTTTGTTTAAAAATGCATGGTTATGTTCATCTTTCCAAAAAGGGATCAAATGACTGCATGTATGTGAAAGACGCCCTTGTAGTGAAGAACCTGCAGAGATATGATGCCTGCCTCTGCCTTTCCCCTTAGCTCTACAGAGCATTTCAGTATCTTTCAGTTCATTGTTTGTTGATGTGTAAATAGGAAACTGTTTGTTATGCAATCTTGTCTTGTTGCATAATGCCATTATCTAGTGTTAGCAAATCAATGAAATTGGATGTACTTTAAATTAGCTAAATGACATACACTTTATGATCATAAACAGTACAGTTATGTAAGATCAAGAATAACCTAGTGTTGCAAGTGTTAGGTAATAAATCAGCTAGAATATGAGCTTAATTGTAATACTGTACACTATATTAAGCTCTTGGTTGGGGAGCCTAACTCCACTAACTAGCAAAACACACAGCTCAGGTGCAAACTAAATATTAAAAAATGTTCTGTTTTTCCAGTATGTTTGTTTTACTGTTGAATTTTGCTGCAGACTACGTTCCTGATAGATGAAGACAGTAGGCTCAAGAGGGTTTGTGGATGTAGAAGATTGCAAGAGGTGAAGTAAGAGAACTGTTGACTCAGTTGGCCTCCCTCTCTCATGCTGTGCCTTGGCATTGCTCCTGTGCTCAAAGCTAGCTGTAAGCAGGAGGATTTATTGTCCCCTACAGAGCCTAACCCCATGCAAGATCTGTCTTGAAGTACCCCATTGTTGTCAGTCTGTCTGCGCACATCTCCTGATATTTTTTTTTTTTTTGGTGTGTGTGTTTGTAGTGTAATAGTCCCCCTGGAATGTATGGTCGAACTTCTCATTTTATGGACCATGAGCGCTATTGCATCACTTTTTTGTCTGTAGTAATACACAGGCTTGGAGCTTTCATGTGAATGCTGACCTCCTCATGTCAAGTGTTTGCTGATAGTACTTTTGCTGTTTTAGCCATGTATTCTTCATTTATTGCTAACTCCTAGCTTTCTTTGATGATTTTAGTTTTTTTTTTTTTTTTTTTAGTCTCCCTCAATGTTTTTCCAAGGATTTAAATAAATGAAATAAATGAATATATTAGGTTTGAGGGTTCCTGGAAGTTGAAAGATGTCCAGGGATACTGATTAAATAAACATACTGTATGAGACAGTGCAGCGCAGCAGAATGGAAGCCGAACTTTTACAAGCTTAAGCTCTATTTGGGATGCATGCTCAATGTATTCTGTGCGTCATGCTTAGCATGTGTCCCTTGTACTGTCCAAGTCACTTCACAGACTTCCTCTGGGCTGCACAGTCAGTCTTCACAGAAGCTGGGGAAGAACTGGCTGTCTTTGAAGTATAAACAGATGGAGCTTTTTTCTTGCACTTCAAAGAGTGCATTTGAACTTTTTATGTATACACCTTTTTATAGTGCAAACATTTACGGCTGGATCATTTTGGAGTCACTACACTCACGTTTCAGTGAGTCACGCTCTTCACATGGACAGAGGTTCACTTGTATCATTGGGGTGTATATGCGACTAGTATTATTCAGACCACACTCTTAAAATAAAAAAGCATCACTTCCATGTGATGCTTTTTATTGTTGGTTGGATTTACTCAATATACTGACTCAGCCGAATTGTATCAGTTATGTCCAAAAGAAACAAACTTCCCTAAATGGTCAATGAACAAAACATGCGAACATAGATGGTCTTATGAAGACAGTGAAAATACCGTAATGTAATTAAGATCACTACATTTTGACATCTACCATTTTGATTGATTTTTAAATGATCTCAGTAAAGATTCAGCCTTCATGTCTTAATAACAGCGTTGCCAGAGAGTTTTCCTTAGAGCAACAAACATCACAGCAGTGTGACTGTGGATTATTTGATCTAATGTGTTTTGTTGCTAATGGATTGTCAAAATGTATTGTAAAGGAGATTAATTGGACGCTTGAATAGTTGTGGTGTACAGGACATTATGTTCCTGTTAAAACTGAAAAAAAGTCTGATCATTTTTAGGTGGTTGTGCTACAATTTTTTCTAATGTTGCATGTAATGTAAATTATGCAATGATCTACACAGGTCACTATCTGATGAATAAATTCCTCTGATTTTCAGAAATTACTCACTCATAGTACTCTGCTGCAGGGGTGATCTTGTATTTGGCGTAAGATGTCCCATTGCCGAGGATGGATCCGTTAATGGATTTGGGGTCGGTGCAGTTCGGACTGTTCCAGCTGTTGCCACATTTGAGCCATGGCAGCTCTCTGGTCATGGAGGAGAACAGGTAGTAGAGGGACCAGGCAATGATGACATTGTAGTAGAAGCCAACATACAGGGCAATGAGGATCACTGTGTAGCCCACACCTGAGGAACACAGAGCTATTAGAGAGGAAGAACAAACTGCTGTGCTAGACATTGTTGTTTTTGTATGTGACATTCTCTGTTGCAGAGGAACACGCGCCTGGTGTAAATTCATTTAATACACGTATAGACCATATTTTCTTTATTTCCTGCTGTTAATATAGGTCTCATAATGTGTCTTTTTTTATAATTTGTATCAATACATCCCAATATTGGTGACAGTTGGAGAGACACTTTAAAAAGCAGATGATGTTTGCTTTATTATGTGTGATAATATTGAATAAATATATTTGTTTTAGGAACTGTCATAACACCAAACAAACAAATGGACGGCAGATAAAGATTGCCGGGTCCAAGCAATAATGATAACCATCACATCAACAGTTATTATCAGACACCACATCTCTAAGAACCGTCAGCTGTGTTGTATACCTTTTCTGATAAAAAAATGTTTTACTAAAGTTCTGTGCAGTTCTGTTTTATAAATCATTGATTCGATAAAAAGTTGCCATTTCTGCCTCATATCTGAGACCTTATTCACCTCGCCAAATATTTTCGGTCCCTTTCACCATCTTATCACCATGAGGTACCCATATCTTTCCCTCAGCGGTGCAGTGGAGGGTACATTCACATTGCCGTTAGTGGCTGTGTGTAAAGAAAGTTTAACTATGTGTTAATGCTTACTTTCCATCATTTTGCACTTTTCTGGGGGGTTAAATTACGGGATGAGTTATTTTGTCTCCACTGGAATGTGATCGTTACATGAAAACAGAGAAGCCATAAACCCATCACCCATTCGTTGTAGGCAGGAAAAAAAAAAAACCCTCCTCAGTGTCGAAGCCAACAAAAGCAGTGGCCGGTGCTGATTCAGTAGTGCAGATGGAGGTACTTATCTGACATTTGAAACATCCTGCATTAAATAATAATCTGTTGAATAAGAGACTTAAAAGTAAAATGAAGTCAGGTCTTAAGTGCTGCTATTGTTTTCCAGATGCATGGATAACGCTTTAGACAATACTTAATTACCGGTACAGTACTTACAGGGAATATGGGAGTAAAAACAAATTAATTTATAAATTATTTATACTGTAGTTTTTTTCATGTACTGTAGTGATCATGTCCTTTACTGTTCATGACAGTTGCAATGTGAAAGAACATGAAGTTGTTCATCTAGAACAGTCCTCATGAAGTCAATTTTCTGCTCTTTTCTACTTACTGTACTCCATAACAATAATGAACAGGACTCAGCTCAAGCTTCTGAAGACACCTGTTAGTTCCATATTGTACGCCATACTAGTAGGCCTACTTTACAAATTACAAAACTGTCATAACATATGGGGCTTAGGCCTACAGCATCCTCTTTTCCCCGGACCTCTATTTGTTCCAAAGTAAAAACACAAATGTGTCCTGCAGTTATTTAGGAACTATCCTCATTGTGTTATCACCTGTACCCCTCCAAGATAAGTAGTATATACCAGTATTGTAATTTTAAAACAAGGAGAGCAGCTGATTTATAAAATGGTATGTAGGAATCTTCCCCCAATTGTCTTGTGCTATCAACCTTCTCTACAATAGTGCATAATAAATCCTGACTTGAGATTTTTAGTTGTATTTCTGATTCATTTAATTAACTGACTTGCAATTAAATTGACCCCAACTGTGTTTCTCAGCATGCCATGGACACTAGCCTGGTTTGGTTTTGCTTCACTTATTTCAAATCTACATTCGATGGGGTAGAACGTTGCAAGTGGAGAGGGATCAAAAATACAAAGTGTAACAGAGAAAGAGACAATGTGACAGAGAGATTAGTTACAAGTGACACTTATGAACCTAAGGGGGGGGGAGAAAAGAACAAAGGGATGAAATGAAAGGGCAAGACACTGAAGAAAGAGAAAAAAAAGAGCATGACTGAGCTGTAAGTAGCACAGTTTAAGAGGTCAGAGAAAGGCTGAAGTAAACGGACATGCTGGGTCACATGTGTGCGTACTTGTGCGTGTGTGTTTGTGTTAAAGCTCACCTTTAAAGACAGGGCATATTTTCCAAACTGTAGCTGCCCCTTCCCTGTTGTACTGGCCCAAGGCAAGTTCCATATAGAACAATGGCATCCCCGCAATGACCAAGAAAAGAATGTAGGGGATCAAAAAAGCACCTGTAAAGTAAAATAATAAAATTTTCATGGTATTTTTTCAGATAATTCCCCACTAGTGTAACTTATATTTTTCTTACATTAAAAATTAACAATTAAAAATATTGTAGGATTGGTGCTCATTGTGGAAATGCTGGACATAAAAAATACACATGTATACACAATACATTTTTTTTAAAGGAATAAAAAGTGTCAGTTGGGGGTCTTTGGCACTGTTGGGAAAAACAACACACCATAACATACATGCAGGAAGGCTTGCAGCTATTTTCATGCTGTGCCTCAGTAGCACATCCACCAACAAGGAAATGACTCCTCGTAATTGAATTGTTCTTGACATTGTCCATCACAAATGACACATTATCTACAGTAATGAATACATTTTGCTGAGGGCCAATATGATTGACAGGCCAGCGGTGGAGCTGACCCTTTGGGGCACTGAGCACAACATGTTGATTTTAACCATGTGAATGGACACGGAGGCAAACAGAGGACAGAGTGCACCTTCTAGTGAGAACTCTGTTGTCATGAGTGTCGAATGTGAAACAACACTGTGTCCTTTTGTTGATTAGACTACTCACACTGTAAAATTCTTCACAAACAGTTCAGCTTCAGTGTTCAGTACTTTTGAAAATCATTAGCAATAAGCTCAAACGCTTGCTTTCCAATTTTTATATAGGCCAGACAAATAAATAGTCAAAATAGTTCATTTATGATTTACAGAAGCACATGTACCTGCCTTTATGAAAGTAGACATTATTCATCATGTAAGCACGCATTCATTATTAATGTATTTAAAGAGCTCAAAGTGGCACAACCTTAAAGCTATTTTAATATACCAGTGTGGTTTGTTTATTAATACAGTTTTTGCACTTTTGCAAGCAATTGAAAGGAAAAGTCAAATATATTGAAGTTAAAATGCTGTTTAAAACAACCTGTTGTTGGTGATTCAACGACACAATCTCCATTATTACCCCACCCACTTCAGTGCGCCTTCAGCTTTCAGTCATTCTAACGCTGGTTAGTTTGCATCAAGACACGCTGAGCAACCACAAGCCCGGACACTTGTTTTTCCAGTGTTTCTATTTCCAGATAAAACTACTTCTGATAAGATGAATCACGAATTTGGTTGGAGATGTTGTCACTTTTGGTGATCTGACGGTCTCAATTAAGTTGTAGATTTCCCTTTCCATGTGAATTCCTTGATGAAATGAGGTATTTCCTTCATCATGAAAGCTAAATGCCCTTCCCCATTAATACACCTGGGACTATTAAAACGTCAGTTAAAGAAGATTAAAGCAACCACAATTAGAACAACAACATGGCAAAATCAATCTAATCTAATCTAAAATAACATTGCTGTAGTGTTTGCTTGGTTAGACGGGTTGAACGCATTTTTGAGACATTCGAAAGTAAAACGAGAAACCCTTTTTGTCACCTGACCCCCAAACAAAAGACACAAGACATCAGTGAAGAACAAACTACGATAATTTTACTGTGTGGATTTACTTTAACTTGCAGACTCAGTCACGCCTAATATTATTGTATTCTTATTTTCCTTCAAGCATTTGGTGCCAGAACTTGCGGCGCGCCTTAAGTTTTGGGACCTGTTCTAAATTGTCAAGCAGCTGTGGACGCTCATTGATCGATTAAAAAGACACGGTTTACTCACCTCCTCCATTTTTGTAGCACAAGTAAGGGAATCTCCAAACGTTGGCCAGGTCCACCGCGAAGCCAATGACCGACAGGAGAAAGTCTATTTTCTTGCCCCAAGTTTCGCGGTCGTCCTCGGGTCCGGGAGGACCTGCGCGGTGGCCAGGGGTAGGGGTGGGAATGATGGAAGAACTGGTGTACTGGACGCCATTCTGGTCCTTCACCAGTATCAGTTCTACCTCTTTTTTCTCCACATTGCACTGTTTCAGCGGGGCCACCGACGAGAGCTTGTGTTCTGGCAGAACCTGGATATTCATCTTCTCTGCGGTGCGTACGAAGCCAACGCTGGCCCGGTGCTCTCACGGCCCCCTGCGGGTTCTGGCGGGGCAGATGGTCTGAGTCGGTGCGCTTGGATAAGGACAGCAATCTCGCTGGCAAAAAACGGATAAGGTTGCTTTCTCCACCGAAACTACAGCTGACACCTCCGCGTACATGGGCTGGAGAGAAGGGAAGAGAAACAGAGAGTTTGGACAGGTCTGGTGTCTGTGCGTAAAGTTGCAGCACAGTTACGCACAGTGAGAAATAAAGGCTACGACTACCAGGGATGAATAAGTGACATTATTTCTCCTATAGCAGACAGACCCAATGCATGTGTGCTGCAACTACCAGTACAGCATTAAGATAAAACATTGTGTCTGCAGTGTGATGCAGAAGCAATAGCAGGCGTCTCTACGTCACTGCGCGCACTGAGCGCAGTGTGCGCGAAACAGTCTACTCAATCACACAATTACTTAAAACATTACTTTTAAGGATAATGAGAAAGATAAATAGTTATTTGAATATGTCACCGTTACTAAAGCAATTTAAAGTTGAGCAGCTGAAAGGCTTTCCTCCTTACTTGGTAAAACTAGGGACACCTCTCCATGACCCGATGCTGCTGTTGTCCAGATGCATCTGAGGGAAGACTGCCCATTCTGAAGGAACTATAAGACTCGCCTTCTCCAGCAGAGACGATATAAAATGCGAGCTTTTAAATCGCTTTCCTCTCTCTCTTCCACGTGATATTTTATAATTGAACACTTTCTCTCCAGTTTGATGTCGACTTGGCATGATCGCTTTTTGTCGGAGCTCAAGTTCCCATAAACTTGTGCATCTGCTCCTGACTTGTAGGTGCACCAATCAGTCGGGAGCAGAGTGGTTTTTAAGATGAATCCATGTTGAGTGGGACTTAATGGAACGGTTTACCATTTCTATAAATAAAATATTCTATTGAGAAAAACTTGATGTGAACTTTATAAGCTATGGGCATGTTTATTTATGTGATTTCCATGTCAAGAGCAAGGTGAAAAGACAGATCAGGTCTTGGCCGGTCAGACTCGAGCTTGGAATTAACATTTTACAAGAGGAATAAGATCACCTTACCTTCAGCTTCATATTAGTACTTGACTTTAACATACACCAAAACTTTTTTTAATGTTTTAATTTGGACTTTATCTGTTTCTTCTCTGTACTAAACAGATTGAATTACAGTTTTCTAAGAAGCCATAAAAGCATTGTGTTCCATGAGTAATTCAATTCTACAGCAGTTTTTGCCAGTGGCAATGATTTCTATTAGATATGGTTGATCAGTTCATCCCATTAAAGACAATGGATGTCCTCTTTGCTCGCCAGTGCTTGTTTTACAAAACCCTGATAGAGCTGGTTTTGGGCATTTTGTTTGTGAAGATTGAATGATTGCAGCGATAGTAAAGCAAAGGAACAGGTAACAAGGAACAATAATTTGTTATTACTGTTGTTTTCTCTTGAATTAGTTCTATTCTTTTGCACTTTGTTTGGTATTGTCCAGCCAAGAATGACCAAATGTTTTGTGTTAACATCATGATAGTGTATGATGATGAGTGCATTTCTAAATATCCACTTGTGTGATTATGTACATTCAACAACAGGGTTTCTTAATATTTCAAGGCAAGATTTCAAAGTAGCATAGTCTGAAACCGTCCTTCTGAAGAGGCATACAGGTGTAAAGCAGCTGCACATTGTAGGTGCCATATTGAAAATAGACAGTAACAAGTAGGAACTGAACCTGTAACATTGACCATCTTGTTGCACCCATAGAAGTGTACGGGACTGCTCAAGGCAAAATGATATCATCCATCACCCTTTACCTCAATCATCCTGCATCTGGCTGCGTACAACTCTTGAGACCTGCTTTCTCGTTCTTAAGGTTCCCCCAGGCTTTCCCATGTTGACCTGAGGATGAGAAAGCTAATGAAACAAGACGCAGCCTCTCAGCAGCCACAGTATGACCCTCTGGATTTAACCCATGCATTTGGTTAGGGTCACAGTAAAGATGCTACTGCTGTTCCTTTCTGTCCTTTTACCTCTGTCCTTACTTGTGAAAACATCCACTGATACTTCTTTACACTACCTAATAAACCATAGCCATTTGAATGGATAATAACCACCACACACATACACACACACCATCACGACCTTTCACCTACCTTCTCCAAGTGTTAAGGTGACCTCACAGTTTCAGTCTCAGTAATACCTACTAACTGTGCCATTAGTGTCAACCCTACACCATAATGGTCTTACTCCATAGTACAAATAAGAATGACCATTTATTGACATTATAACACAACTTTACTGAGACTATCCAGATTGTGTTGTATGTGTGAGCCATGATTCTTAAATTTGACTGTGTTGAAACATTAGAAAAGTGACATTCCCACATTAGGACCATTTCTTGTTATGTCATTCCATGGACTTTAAGTACCAGGTAATTACCACATGGTAATTATGGTCATGGTATTAGCAAAGAGTGGGTTTTTGGGGGCTTTTTTTTTGTTCTGCGCCCATTAAAAATCTCTGGTCTCAATCTCTGCAGGCCTCACGATAGGAGGAGTGTCATTAAGCTTTTCTCTCCGGGCTTTACTAGTATCTGCAAAGATTTAAGCACTTCAGCAATGTTAAGTCTTATTCGCTGCATGCTGTATACATTCAGTGAGAAGAAACAGCAGTATGAGTCAGGTCAGAGAGTAACATTTCTCGGCAGCACACAGCACATCTGGAAAATGTGATGTATATTTAACACCAATAGGTGCATGCCACTAAAGTGAGCTTCTCTGCAGCACCTCATCTCATGCTTCAGCCAACACCTACGCTCCAGAACCAATCTGTGAGAATGCAGTGCCATTGTCCTCAAAATGCTTAAAATAATAACCAGGTTTTCTGGCAGTCTCCTTCATCTATGTATCAAAGAGTTTTATCTTTCAGTAGGTCACACCCCTTCAATCCCCAAGCAACTGGTGAATAGAGAGCACAATGGGGGGCTACACACAAGTTGAGTTGAGAATGGTGGGTAGTAATTAGGGGGCACAAAAAGGGAGGCTTGACGGCAGGAGGATTGGCATGATTGCTGTTTGAACTGTGAGAGTGCTTGAAAAAAGAAAAAAAGGCTGCGACTGATTGACAAGTCTCACAGAGATATTCAGACTAAACTTAAATCTCCCATAAGAGCGACACTTGAAATTTCCTTACTGACATTTTGGATTTTCTCTTATGTAAATGTTGCGTAAGACATATTGTTCCACAGTCATAAACACTATAACACATCATACTTTGTTCGTTTCTACAATGAAAAAAAATGAGTTACAGTTAACATGTTTTTTCTTTGTCTCACAGAGTGTAGAGGGATGGGTTTGAGTTTAATTGGCACATATAAACACTTCCACACCTTATTTGGCCAGTCTCACTGACAAGTAAAAGACAAATGTTTTTTCCACAACCTTACGCTGACCCATCCTCAAATGTTACACAGGAAAAGTTGTTGCCTGTCATCCAAAAATCCATCTGGAGAAGAATCAAACACAGAGATGTGAAACACCCAAAACATTGAGGAAGACGAGAAAACAAACTTGGGCTGCAGATACCGGTGTTGGACCACTGATGTTTCGTACGGTTCCTCAAACTTTGCCCTCACCAGGACCTTCACTGTTCCCATAAACCATCACACAGGAAATGAGGAACAATCATTTTCCTGAGAGAATAATAGTAGAGAGAAAATCAACAAGGTGTCATCTGGTGCGATAAGGAAACGTAACAATGAGGTTTGGAGGAACTCCCTGAAGAGCAGAAGGAGACAGCTTGCCAGGCTCAAGCCTGCAGGAGTCAATGGTAGTGCAAGAAATGTGCGTTTGTCTGTGTATGTTTGAGTGCATGACTCGCATCAAAAATGTGTAAAAATCCACACCATGCCAGCATCTGTAGAAGTATACACCCATCAGAGTTAAGTGAACTCTTTGCACTGAGCAGCTGGATAGAAGCCATGTCTGCTCTGTGAGCGGACAAACCAGTGGGTCCATCTTTAGAAAGGTATGTCATGCTGCCAAGCATTGTTCAAATTCACAGAATTTTATTGCAAAAATATTATACTGGACATCCTAAAGTTTGCCAAAACACCCAGTAGGGCATGCTGAATTAAAGGGAAATGTGTATGAAATGATGTGCAAGACTCAAATGTTATCCATCCGTTGTATAGTGACAGCCATAAAGAGTCAATGTTTCAGCCATGGTTTAGGAGTGAATAACGTTACCTGTACTTTACATTTCCTCACTCCAGTGTTCACCTGAAGAATCACGGGCAAAAAGAAAAGCATTAGGATCCAGTGTAGCTCTATCTAGCAACTTACTCATACTTCTCTAACCTGTGGGCTAATGTTAATGCACTGTGCTGATTGTTTCGAAGACCTATACACATCCATGTTCGTCATTCAGGACAAAGGAGGGGTCACAGGAGTGTATATACACACCCAGGTATCCTGTTGTTTTTAGCAGGAAGGTTTATTCTATAGGAACATAAAGCCTTCCTTTTACGTAATGTTCCCTAAATATCCTCGCATTAACGAAGTCTAATAAATTACATTTTATGTTGTACTATTGCACTGAATCAGTCTGTAGTATTGTGTTTTTGTAGTCATGGTAAAAGCTAAAACTTGCACCTTGGGTAAAGTCTGCTGTATTTATAGAGATGTAAAAAATGTTTTTATACCCTCAGTGGATGGGAGGGAGCATTAGTTTAAGTTAGAATGTATTAAGAAACTTGAACAATACATATTTACTCTCTATAAGTCGAACCCATCAATGTTATACCATAGGAGAAAAAAAACCTTTAAGTTTTTGAAATAAATGGCATACTGAGTCTAAACTTGTGGAGTGGAACTCCAGCCAGTACTCATCCTCATTTTGCCCCAAGATGCCTAGGCTACTTGGTTAAACTGAGGCACACAGTAGTGTCACATCCATTTACCAGCGAGGCCTGTCGGTTCTGACCTTTCCTTCCACAGTGAGTCTCCCATCCGTATGAGGCCTGTGTCCAGCTTGGGTCCACAAACAGAGGCTGCTCACTCACTCAGGTCCTGAGGAGACCAAATCAGATTACAAACACATATCTCCCACAATCTGGTGCGACAGGATCACCCCCCAGGCAGGGCTGAAATGGATACAGCAATATACAAGAGCCATGCAGAGGAAAGAGGGGAGGATGGAGGGTGTGGGACCAAAGAGGAGAGCGGGAGCTCTGGGTAGGCAAAGGAGTCACACTGTTGTACGTGCGGCAACAATGTGACTTAATTGATTCCATGCCATCTCATCAATTTTGATTAAAATGAAATGAGCCTCTGTACGTTTGAAAAGGTTAAAACAAATTGAAGGTGGAAATCACAGCTGGTAATCACAGTTTGTCTAACAGCAGGCTTTTAATGAAGCGACCTGCTCTCCATCACTCATTTCTGCCTCCTGTGTGCATATAGAGCAAGACTGTGCATTTTTTGTGTGTGCTGAGTGTCATACATCCCAGACATATGGCCTCTTACACGGATGACTACTTTTCGAACAGCTAGTTTAAGCCAAAATTAATTGATGGCCTCAGCACAAAGCAATGCTTTGACCAATAAGCAGCTGGATAACTCATTTGTTATAAAAGGAAAGGACTATCTGAAGAAGGTGTTTAATTTCATGTGCACTGATTTACATGAGATTTACACAAATTCTCTGTTCAATAAATGCATTGACAGAAAAGCACATACAGTATATAACAACGACAACAAATATGCTATTTCTGTATTGTTTCTTTAAATGATAAAATATTCTATTAGAACACAAGTCCTGTATCTAATGTTAATGATCCAGTTTTTGTCAAATCTCACGATGAAAACAGATTGGTTCACAGAAAGGCCAAATAGACCACACACCATCCAGCAATGCAGACAAATCAAGCCGTTATAGCACATAAGCCATATATTGTACTTATTTTAAGATATTGCTAAGATGTTTTGTGCTTTGAAGAGAAAAACTATAGATTTATTTAAATGTTTATGTTCATCCTACTGGTATTAAAGTATAAAGATTATAACAAAATCACTCATATTATGCCTCCACTCTTTTTAGTGTGGGAGTTCACTCATGATTTAATGTAACATTTGCTGCGACTTAAATATTTTCTTTGCACAATTAATGATTCGGTTCAAAGCATTTCATGTTTGGAGTCATGGCCCTAAGTTTGGCCAGAAAATAAAAAAAAACTATACTAAAAAATATATGCAGAATACCTATATCCATAGCTTTCAAAAACAGTATCTTAAGGGTAAAGTATTATTACACACATGCACACGCATTCATTCCACACAGTAAATCTGATTCTAACTTAAACCTCATTGTTGTATAGCCTTGAAGTTGATTTAAAATGACAGAAGATTTAAAACACAAAGTGGAGCTGACAAGTAGAACAAAAACAGACACAGAGTGGAAATATAATAGATTACTGCTGCCACCTGGTGGTTATTTGGAGAACCAGAGGTACAGCCGTGAACCCTGCATCGCCCCTATGCCTCATAATAAACAAAGTCTCTAAAAGTCATTACAAGTTCCCTCAGTGGTGAATATAAAGACACAGGCAGAGATATAATTGTATTCTTGTTTTATTTTAAAAAGCAAACTTTGCAGTGTTAACAAAAAAGAAAAAAATAATTGCGATGCACCTTGCATGAACAACAGTGCCGCTAGTTAATCTGAAAGAATACCCTGCTGGAATATGCTGTTGTGAAGAAGCACTGTTGCCTTTTTGCTCACAAATTGTCCTATTTTCAGTGCTTGATTTGCTTTAGTAAACTTAAAGCTGTGTAGACACGCTGCTGTCTCAGCAACAAAAATCTTCAGTAGAAATGCAAATGGATACACATGCAAAGCAAACCTCTGGCTAATTATACAGCCGTCTTACAACGTCTGTGTCCCTGAGCGCTTGGAAAAAAGTGTAATGCACAGCATGTATGCTCTTCATAGACATAGCTTTAATACAGAACATCTGTGGGTTTTGCCAGATTGGAAAGATCTTATTAAACCTTACTGTACACTAATTATACTGCAACACAGAAGCATGAGGACTCTTTGCTTATATTTAAAAAGGTGTTGTTTTGGCATTTTTACACTCATTTACAGAGGACCACAAAGACAAAGGAGAAGGTACACAAAGCTACTTTCATCTAAGTCCAAGGGGGTAAACTCAGGCTTTAGAGAATGTTGTATCTATGTCAAATATCAGTCAACGATCTGAAACAAATATTCAAGTACATCATAAAACACTGTCACTAACATTATATTGAAGGGTTTAGACAGTTAAAACACTGAGGGCCCATGAGTTCTCTGCCATATTTCCGCCCTATAACTAGCTTTTTTTATTTATTTATTTTTTCTGATGGGCACATAACCAAAGTACACACACAAAACACTTTAGGGGTGAAAAGAAGACATTTCCTGTGCAGTGGCTTGGGTAAGTGGTTCTTCAAAATGTCTATAAGGCACTAAAATTGAAAACAGAAGCACTCTAAAAATCATCTATAAAAAGGCAAGCACATAACCTATAATATGGCTCTGCTGTGGCAAATGACTCGAATTTGCTAAAAGTCGTTGGAGGGAAGATGACACTTTTGCTAATTCCTTCTCAGTGCAGTAGATACAGTGTATGTCCTTCGGTGGAGGCAAGGAGTGCTCATCGGTTCTTCCCCGATCTCAGTCATCTTTTTTGTCAGAGACACTGTCTTCCTGTTTTTCCCCTGAATCGGTCGGACTGGACAATTCCAGATCACCCGGCCTCGCCTCCTGGATTGCTTGGTACCTCTGAAGCTCCAGGTAGGTGGTGAAGAGCTTGGCATACTCCGGGTGGGTCGTGGCAAAGGCTTGAAATTCATCTGAATCACAGGGAAAAAGAAAAGCATTAGGAACCACTGTAGCTTGGGATAAGGAGAGTAAAAATAATGATGATAAAATACTATATAAATTTATTTACTGCACATACTCCCACAATGTCCTGGTTAAAAGACCAAAATGTTGGTGTTAGACTTAGTCTTAAGGCAGAGTCTACTCACTGAAGGTGATGAAACCAGAGCCGTCAGCATCGATCTCCTTGAAGAGCTTGGTCATGTTTAGATTCGACACACCCAGAGCTGAGCGCAGCAGAGAAGTAAACTCCTCTCGGGTGATTCTCTTATCCTCATCTGTATCAAACAGCTGCACGAGAGAGGACAGAAACAGACAAAATTTATTTCACTTTTGAGTTATTTAGGGTGCAAAAATGTTTTTTTTGGCTAAATTAGTTTGACAAAAATAACTTTTTCAGTCACATTACACAAACACCAGGACTGTTTGTTCAGAACCACATTTAACCTTATGGCCAGCAAAATGACTCCATGCTCTCCACAACAGACACACATTGTTAACATGACATTATCCAAGCCTCTCTGAATGCTGCCTCTGTTCTTCCTACAGTACTGCTGCTACTGTCTGCTGTGCTCTAAAATCAAATAAAAGCAGGGCTGGGTGATTTAGCTTAAATTTAGCACTTGTCTGCATGCGGCTTGCATTTCTTTATGGTAATATTTACTTTTATTTAGTATAAAAAAGCAAACGTTATACATGCATTATTGTCACAAGTTCTCGTTAATACATCTAAAAAAAATTTTGTTTCACATGATACTACAGCTTAAGTCTACTAAGCAAAGAGCAATAAAATCCAATCGAAAAATATTAACCACTGCAAAAAAAGTGAGCAGGAAATGTATGGTGCAAACAAATCAGCATGACAAATGTGGAACATTTCTGACGCAGTGTTGATTACACACCTTGAAGAATTCAGGCTGTTTTCACACACACAAGAAGTCCAAAGGAGTACTATCTTGGGTGACCCAAGAAAGTGGATATTACAAAGCATTCCATACACATGTATGTGTATTTGCATTCAGTATATCTTAAAATACAGCTCAGAATATTCTTCAGGCCCGAGTTGGTGCACACATACCTGGAAAGCCATTCGAAGAACGTCTTCGGTGTTAGCTGGTCGACACAAGATGGTCACACCAATAACATACTCTCTGAAGTCAATGGTGCCATCTCCGTTCTAGACGGGGTCAAAGAGACGGCAATAAAAATACTTGCAACGGTCAAAGCACATATTATTTTGATGAATAGCACTTGACCCTTTTATGGTCTAGAAATATAGACTTTTTTTTTTTTTTTTGATATAGACATCAACAGTATTGAATATTGGGGAGTATGAGGAATTTAAAGGGCAATATAATAAAACAGGAAAATTATGAGGCATACATTATCTGGGGAAAAATTATACTCATTGAACTGGATGGTTTTATGCTTTAAGTCCTCTCTTCCCACTCAAGTCTCTGTTAGATGGAGGGAAAGAGGCCAAACTACTTTGATCATAGTTTCCTCTTCCAGACTGTATAAATCCCCACAGCAGAATGACCAAATTTTACTTTCATTGGTACATAGAATATGCAGTGATGTAATACATATAATGATTTTGTAAATTGAATATTAAGATTGTTGCACATTATGATGTCAACCATTATGTATTATATGTGTTTCCGGCAGGATGTGCCAGGGCCATTTTTCTTACTTACTTTCACACCCTGGCTGTGTCAACAAAAAGGAACTTCAGTATTTAACTGTCATCCATTAGGGTGCTATTCAGTGGTCCAAGATGCTCTGGTTGTATAAAATCTGAATATTTGATATACAAGTCTCTCACTCTGTCAAACAGCGCAAACAGCTCCGCGAGGGCTGGGTTGACAGGAAGCTTCAGGAATCTGGCAAACTCTTCAATAGTGATCCGTCCTCCTTTACAAGAGCTGGCCATGGTTGCGAAGCCCTCCAGCTCCTTCTTCACATTGTCCCACTTCAGACTGAGAGAGCAGGGCACAATTTGTCATTGTTAATCTCCCTACTTGGTGATGCCAACAGTGTACTTAAAGGTCCAGTGTGTAACATTTAGGAGGCTCTATTGGCAGAAATGGAACATAATATTTATAACTATGTTTTCATTAGTGTATAATCACCTGGATACAGGGAATAGTTATGTGTTTGTTACCTTAGAATCGCCTTCCATGGAGTCCATCATGTTGAACTGCCATGTATCTACAGTAACCCAGAAGGGACAAACCAACAGTGGCTCTACGAAGGGCCGTTCGTGATTTTCGAACGCTTTGCGGCCACCATAGTTTCTCCTTCGCGTTTGGAAGGGGAGGGTGTAGTGAGAGAGTTTGAGAGTTGCAATGTGCAGCTACACAGCTGGATGCCACTAAATCCTACACACCTGACCTTTAAGTGAGATGTTCTTACTTGAGTTTACGGCTAATTTTGGTGAACTCAACCAGGCCAGCCTCCATGGGCAGCGTTAGCTCGCCAGCAGAGATCATCAGGCGACAGTCTTCATATGTGTGGTCTGTCACTGGAACTCCCAAAGCCCTGAAAGCACAGTGACAGTTTGCTTATACAGTGGTCTGCTTAAATACTTGCCTATAAAGAGGTGGATGCAGCAGGCCAGGAAGATAGGCAAATTCCAATAAATGCAATCACCAAACTCAATGTACACTTCTAATGCCGTAAAAATGGTGGGTTGAATTTAAATTGTGACCATCATATTACACAAAAAACTCTTCACTACTTCTCTCCAACTTAAATGTACTCCATATGCGTTTAATATTGTATTCACTACCTGTACACGCATATACTTTAGGTTTACTCTTGCATTAAGACCAATGAACACTTACTGGGCCATAGTTTCTCGCACTCTGCTAGCAAATAGAGCCGGAGTTTTCTTCTCTTCCTCTGTGGGGATATGTGGTGGCAGAAACTAAAAAACAGAGCAAACAGTCCAAAAAAAAGGTCATAAACTAGATCAAAGAAAAATACCCTTAAACCTCTGCATGGAAACCAAACCTGGTAATGCAGAAAACACATCTGGGGCTCAGGCTTATATAGTACATAACAACATAAAATCCAACTGTATTTCTGCAAATTAAGGTTGCATACTTAGCTTTCTTAAAAAGAACTCAATGGTGGCATTGATACTAAATCAAATCAAATGATCTCTTAACTAAGATGCTGTGTACAACTACTGGGATTCACAAAAGGTTTTCCATTGGAGAAAAATTATGAATCGTCACAGTTTTTTAATAATATTGTGAAAGCATTATGTAATGTCTAAAAGAGCAAAAACAGTTTGTAGTATCTTTGTCACAATATTAGGATGCACACTAAATGAATGTTACCTCTATCTCTACGGTGGTGTACAGTTGGCACAGAGTCAGAAGCAGCAGTGTCTTCCTGCACATAATACAAGCAGGACAGTCCGTCACATATATTGATTCAATAGTACAAACAGTTGTTAGGCAATAATGTTACTGTTACAGTGTTATAATTGTGATCGCTGTCTTCAGAAAAAGTAGCAGCAGACACAACCTTTACCAAACATCCGGGTGAAAAATAAGAAACCTCTCATGATACAGACATGTAGAAAACGTACTTACGAGCTGAAACCCTGCCAAGTCCAAGACACTGTATCCTGGAGAAGAAAATAGAGGGGAATGCGTAAAGCTTCATAAAACTGGGATGTAATGGTATTCAGGAGCCTCATTTATTAAAATCTTCTTAGATTTACACTTAAACTTAGTCTTAAGATAATTTCTGATGGTGTGCTTATGTTTGATTCATAAAAGATACTGAGCATAGAAACCTTGTTTACGCAGGTTCTAAGAAGCCCATTTGTAACTTTCCCACCTGTGATCTATAAATCTCAAATTCATTTAAAAGGCACCTGCATTAACGATTTCCTCTTATATAATGCTTGCACGAAAAGGGGTTAGTCAGGAATAGCCATGGACCAAAAGACACACGTGACGGACAGATAATTATGAGTTATGAGTTTGTGTTTAGTTCGGCGCATCACCAACCAGCACTTATTTTAGTGAGAGATCTGAATCTTAATGGTCTTCTCCCACTAAGCACAGCAAACCAATGGAGGCTGCTGAGTTGAGGTGACAAAATGTAATGTTTATACAGAATACTGTTTATCTTGATGGATTATTTTGATGCCAAATTAGGCAAGAATGACGCACTTGTGTTTCTAGAATGTGTTTTTATGGACACTGGAATTGTTAATAGGTCATATTTCTTAAAGGGGTTTGGTGTAATATTTTCTCCGGAGAGTGCAGGGAAGCTGCTATGTATAGTTATTGGTTTGATTAATGGTTTGTTAATGTGTGTGTATTGATTACCAATGGTGGTTGATCAGGCTAATAATCTAATTGTACTCGCTTTCTAACGGCAGTATGCAGTAAGTGCTTTTCCTTTGTCTGTATTTATCTGTCACTCACTGCTGAAAGTACAGAACAGAATTAAAAACTAATATTTTTATATATAACAGTCCAATAAACTGAGCTTTGTAGTGGAAGAGCTACCATAATCTTGCACCCACACTTTTAACTATATAGGGGCCCCCGGTTCCTATCACATTGTTCATAAAGCTGACGCAGAGTTCACCACAGGTTTGATCAAAATGTATCTGAAGTCGTTTTTATAAATGAGGTGTTGGTATCAGACTCTGACAGTTCAGCCAGCCACATTCATAAAAACAGAAAAGGCAAACAACATGAAGGGGTTTCAGCAAAGATTCAGCTCACTGATAAATTCATGTACTTTTACTTGGATGGAAATATCCCAAGAGGATACATTTCATCTTTGGCTCTGTCTCTATATATTTATCTTCTGCACAAACAACAGTGTAGTACAGTGTGGCCTGTATGAATAAGGCTCTCACCATGTGAGGTGAAATATATTAATACTGTACCATAATCACAATCACTCACTAGTTTGTTGGGATATCTCATAAGCACAGGCTGCACAGGGACCCCTGGGATAAAGGCACCTAGAGATGGGGAACACACAGTAGGAAAGAAATCATGGAGTCTGTTATTTCTCATTATGAATGAATGGAAGCTGAATAGTTATCCCATTCCATACACTCACAACCAGTTTTGTCAGCATCAGTTGACAGCGAGTCAGTGCACACAACATCACATAGTGAATGAATAGAGCAGTGTAGTATCAAGTGTTCTGTCGTGTAGCCTTTGCACTCAATTGTGAAAATGCTAATGTGCCATAAGGAATAGATGGAATGGTCAGTAAAAAGTTAATTGTTTTGTATTTTTACTTGTATTTAACATGTTTTGTTGCAAAAGAAAAAGTATATTTACATTAATTTTGATTTTGCATCTTACCCTGTTTGAACGTGATAAGACATGAACGATTTGTACATGTTCCCTCTGGAAATATCAGAACCTGAGGAACAAAATATCATTAGTAAATGGTAAAATCACATGCTGTACAATTATGTAATTATGCAATTACGCAAGGTATGCTTTTATATTTGAGACAACACTAGATGCACTTTAGCTAATCCTCTGATAGTGTTAAAAAAGTACTCTAAACGTGACAAAGGAAACGGTGAAAACCAAACCAACATCTTGAGATGAGCTCTTGGGTTTTCTAAGCTGACGAACTTCTCTGCAGCTATTCTACTAGCAGTTCATATTAGGGCCATTTTTTTGTGTTGAGACAGACCTGTGGCCATTTGCCTCGGGACTTGGCTCTGCTTTCAATCTCTTGGATTGTATTCTTCCGGGAGTCTGGGTCCTTTCTGGACACCAGCACTGGCTGTAGGCAGCGCACAAACCCTGCAAAGAGAGTGCAACACACACACACACACACACACATTAACATATAAACTAAGAAAAGTAAAATAATCGTTTTTTTAATCATATTTTTCACTGAATATTTCATGCACACGCCTTGTTTAATTGCATGACTTTATTATCTTTAAATAAGGCAGTACTATTTCATTAAATTGCCACGTTGGACACGAAAAGTGTGATTTGTACGGTAAGATTTAAAGATAAACAAAAATGAAAGTAAACCACACAAACGTTTCACACTTTTGTACGTTTTCACACACACATACTTTACTGGAGGTTGAGAGGACAAGATGGCGCCTTCAACCACACACGCCCCTACTTTTCTCTCCTGAAGCAACAAAGCAAATGAAAGGTGTCTCACTGCCAAAGATGGGCGTAGCCAGGTTCTCCACACGGGAGACTGTGGAAGGCAAGCCTGCAACAATGCACACAATCCCATCAAAAAAGGTGGAGTGGGGAGCCACAGCCAGGATGGGAGCCTCACTGCTGCCGACCTGCTTGCCCTTGACCACCACTCTGAAGCCCATGCAGAAGTAGTACGTCCTCCCCAAGGCAGCCATAACTTTCCGACACATGAACCTGGAGATGACCAGAATGTTGTAGATCACTGAATTTAGGAGATTATGGAAAATTCTGTTCAATTAAAAAATACATGCGTATCTAAAAGGGCACCGCTTTGCTTCACACTGGCACCAGCCATGTTAAAAATGTGGTCTAAGTATTTTAGATATGTCTCCAGCATGTTTTGTTGTCTTTTATTGACTGGGGGGAAATTGTCAGTGGTTTAGTAAGCGTGTTTCACCATGTTGTACTTTCCTGTTAACGTTCCAGTTAACGTTCCAGTTACTTCCTTTTAATTTAGAAAAAGGGTATGAAGTCATAGCAGAGGCCGCGCTGTGTCTCAAATCGAAAACTGTACAGACACTGTGACAAAATGATGCATGGCGATATGGAACTTTAAAAACTTTTGTCTCATATACAAGCTATGAATATTTAAAGCCGCATTAATCTTTCTGCTCAGTGGGGCAGGAAGCTTAATGCAATATAAGTAGAAAGCTTCCTACACAAACCCAAAGCATCAACAACACCTTGATATACAATCGGCTGATCAAGTTATTGTGGCTAAGATATTGCCTTATAAATATGCAGTCGGCACAGAGCAACATATCACTTGCGTTTTTGCAGAGGGCAGGGCGCATACAATTTTGTAGCGCAATGTGTTTTTACACACTTTGAGTGAGGCTGGTGACAGATGGGCAAACAAAAATCATTGACCTGAAAGTGGTTGAAAACAACATGGCTATTCAAAGTGAGGCATTGATTTTCAGTGGGATTCATAATACAAGTCTTTTTTCACATTATTGCCCATTATTTGGTTCAATTAAACATCACAGACACCATTTATTGGAGCTTTAAGATACTTAATGAACAAATACTAATTCCAATTGTGAAATTTGACTATGTAGCAATCTTTCATAGTTTCATAGTAGAACCTAAGCTTCCGTGTTGTAACCACTCTGAGAATGTCTGAGCCTGTTAGCAAAGCAATAAATAGCTGAACATAGAATGAGGTAAGATAAGCTTCCTTTGTCACCTATACCATGTTTGGTCATAATCATATAAAAAGCTATGGTCTAAGGTCACACGGTTGTTCCTGTTAGCTGTAGAACTGCAGCTACTATCTGCAATACACCCTGTTTGGTACTCAGAGGTAAACTACTGCAATCCTAAAAGATCATTACATACTGTATTCACACTGTGTGGATATACACTGTCCAGTTGGGTGACCCTTTTCATTCATTTGCATAACAACCATTAGATGATGAAACATTGGTTTGGCTATTTAAAAAGAGATAAATCACTTTTTCCAGTTCCTTTTATTTAAGCCCCACTAATACCACTCGGCTCTCTCCTTTCTGAGAACTGAGAGGAACTTATCTTGAGTAATGCTTGTGGTGCAGATACCATCTGCAGAAGCATGATTCGGCAGTAGTGCAAGCAGCTGCACATTCTTCAAGCAATGTCAGGAACTATTATTTTGAGAATATGCTGCCTTCACTGTGTTTTACTGTCCAGTTTATGAACCCAGGAAACACACTGCTTCTGCTACTTCTTGCTTTAGCACAACTCACTGTTTTAGTGCAACTATACGTATTCCTTCACCAAAAGCTGTGTTCATATGCACTGAATAGGATGTGAAAGCGAGGTGTTAATAGCCTACTCCCTCTTTGTAGACATGGGGGGCAAAATAATAGTCACAATGTGTGTCTATGCGGCTGCTTTGCAAGCACAGAAAATGTACAACAATGTACTGGTAGAAGAGGGTGAAACACAATGTCCAAGCAGGTTTCTGAGCCTGTGAAGCAAGCCGTGCATTAGGCATTAAGTGCAATTTACTGGATTGTGAGAAGAATTTCCTGCACATTTAACCCAAACTGATAATAAACTGAATAAAGCAGCTGTATTGTGCAATTAAGTGCTAAGTGTTATAAGTGATGAAGTGAGTCTGATATCTGAAAGGCCATGGCTTTCTGAGGCCAGTCTGAGGCAGCTCTGGTGCCTGGGAGGTGCGGGTGGCTCCAGTGGGAGACTTGTGTTGCAGTGGGATGGTGTTTGTATCCTAATTACCGTCTCCAGCCTGTCATGGGTTCCACGGCTCCTTTCAGGGGATGCTTGAAGGTTATTATGACAGCCACGGGCCATGTCACCATGAGAACCAGGGACAGGAGGATGGCGCGAACGGGGACCAGGAAGATTCCCAGGAGGACACACTGCATGGAGGAGGACATACACAGTCACACAGGCCCTACACATCATGAAGGAAGGACTGCTGTCAGACACAACCACAGAACATTTCAGTGTTGGGAGCAGAAATCTGCATGAGTATGAAAATCCACCTCACTGGGCAGCTTTGCAGGAAGCACACAACGGCTCTCATTGTTTGTGCTGCACATAACGAGGCTTTACAAGCCGATTGTTGGAGAAGATTACAGGCCCTGGTTACACCGCAGCCTGTGTGTGTGTGTGAGTGTGTGAGTGTGTGTGTGAGAGAGAGTACGTGTGTAATCTCACACATCAGCTGAAACACTGTGAGAGCGATGGCTATATTCTTCAAAAGCTTGCCAGTACATGGCCACTGAGCTTAAACGCCATACTCACTTTAACGATAGCGGCTGTGGTCAGTTTGGTGTCTTGGACGAACGGGTTGATGACCGCGGGCAGCAGCAGGGATTTTTGCCTCGGCAGGGCGAACACTCGCTGTGGCGGCATTGCAGTCCAGTGGAGGAAGAAACGGCCAAATGGTTGAGTCGAGGCGCCGTTATGTTATCATCTCACTTCCTCAACGGGGGCGACCCTGCTCTCTCGTTTCTCTCACCCCCACCCCCCTCCAGGCCAGTATCAGACGATCGGATCAGACGGGTGAGCGCGGACGCGAGCTTGCGAGCGAGCGAGAGCGGAACCGGACCAGCGTTTTCTAAAGCTCCGCCTCCAACGCGGGTACCGCTGCACGGTTGGAGTCCAATCGGTGTGTTCCTAACGCCTGCACCCGTTTATACACTCCGAGAACCCGCGTTACGGATGTTTGCACGATGCTATTACTCATTTAGAGTTATTTCTGTTACATATTGGAACAATCAGGTGGGAGAAAGGGCTGGAGACGGTGCTGTCGGGGGCCGCTGTAATGTGCTTGGTGAACATGGTGATTAATGCAGCCGTGAGTTGATCCATCTGTTATCAACATAAGCCCAAAGACACTCGAACTGATACACAAGTAGCGAATTGGCAACGATTTAAGGGAATAATAACGTATTAATATATGGATTAATACGTGAACAAACATGTTTACGAGCTCTCATAAATGTCCACAAGATGGCGCAGTTTCCTCACAAAATCTCATCTGGTCCTGCCCTAAAAAAAGGAAGTCCTGTCTGCTCTCCTAAGTGTTATTTAGGAGTGGTGGAAAGTAAATATTTACTCATTACAGTACAAATCTGAGGCATACTCATTATTCTTCTATTGTAACACTGTACTACTTTACAATAAGATTTTCCAATAACTTAAGGATGAGCTTGTAAATATAATGCATTGACCACCCCTCAATGTATAAAGGAGTTCAAACATGCTTCACCACTGCCAGCCACACATTATAGCATCAGACTTCATAAACAAATATTATAAAAACACTAACGGTGGCCATTTCAACTGTGATAAAATGTGT